AAATCTATGAAAACTCCTAGATCCTTTGAGATTCATTGAACATTTCAATGGCATGTTTAAATCTCGATATTCCCCTCTAGTTTGTGACTGGGATACCGAGGATCACAAAGCGGGTGTGAATAACCATGCAAACTTACATGGTGCCCCCACATGTTACAGTCACCTATTCGATGTGCCGGTAAACCACACACGCTCCACCGAACCATGACAAACATTGAGTCACCCTTTGCTACCTTTGCTTAGAACCATTTAGTGTGCCGGTAAACCACACACGCTCCACTAACGTCTTCGCAAGGGCACAAAGTGTAATTTTATTGAATTGCATCAATTTACTTTTGCCTAAAGTAACTAAGATTGGGAATTTGTAAAACATTTAGTTACTTTTGTACTTCATTATACTTATAATGGAAGATTTATGTCCTATCTTAACCGTTCGGTTAACGACCCTCCACTAGTCAAGAGTGCGGTGGGTAAGAGTGGATACCCATTCAATCGCCATTTTATAGGCAATTTCCTTAAACACCCCTTATATACCAGCTTCGTGAATGAGGCCTACTAACGGTAAGACTGACTTTTACTCATACATATATATATAATGTTAGACTTTTAATGTTATATATAGTATAGGGTGTATTTTACACTTTTAAAATAGTAGGTGGTCTAATTTAACAATTATACTTTTAATTCAATTAACTTGTAAACCAAAACTTTTATGGATTTATTAAACCTCTTTTAATTATACACCTTAATTAATTAATAAAACCATAAGGGTGTGATTTGAACTTTTCAAAACTATACTAGGGTTTTAGAATTTAACATTTCTAAATTAAACTTTTAATCAACTTTTAAATTCCAAAATTTGAGGGCAAGTTTTGAAACATTTCAAAACATTAGGGTTTCACCTATTTAAATTTCAAAACAAAACCTTTAAGTTCAAATTTAAACTATAAAACCTACATGGGCATAATTGAAACTTTTTCACAACACAATGATCAAATAACAAATAATAGAAATTAAACAATTAATTTTGTCATTATCTATATTTGACTTAATCTCATAAGATAATTACCAAATAAATTAAATAATCCATATTTATCATATAAGGAAAGTATTATTCAAAAGATTTGAAATTATCTTTTGTTTTATGAAGGATAATCACCCAAATATAATAAAAATCGGATTTTATCATAAAAATACGTTTTTGGTATTAATCCTTCAGCAAAACAGCAAGAAATCCCGATATTCCCTCTGTCTGACGCTCCGATTCGCCGAGTCACACATTGGCACTCGCCGAGTCCATGTAGTGACTCGCCGAGTCAGTTCGAACAGAAGGCCAAAATTCGATTTTGCAACTTGAACAAACATACAAGGCATCAATACAATAGAAACCAATCAAGGCTCTGATACCACTGCTGGGTTTTAGCCTTAAGAACATCCTATGTGCTCATGCAAACCCTAATGCTTGGATATAGGTTTCTCTATTGTACATGCAATTCATCCAAGACTATAAACCTTAATTCTAGATAACAATTAATCATATTAACATGATAATGGGTTTAAGATATACCCTTGATTGTTATGTAGCAATAACAATCACAATTCCTCCTTGTAATGACTTTAGAAAGCTTAGAGTCACAAATGTCACTCCTCTAATGGTTCACAAACACCAAGAGCAAGAGGATGAAGAAGAAAAGAGAAGGAGGCTGCCCAAAACATGTGGAAACCCTAACCAATTAGTTCACCACGTTTTTTAGGCTTAAGGGTCCTTTAAATAGTGAGGCTATTAGGGTTATCTAACAAGGAAACCTTAATTTGGATGCTTAGGCCCTAAGCAACCCATGGACACTTCCTTAATAAGCCTTGGACGATTTCTAATGGGTCTCCCTATAAAATTCGTCCAACCTTATAATATAAGGCAATCCATAGCCCAATTGCAATTATCTTATAATTATAATTGTAGTCCCTTAAGTATAATTAATCTCTTTTAGCCACAAACTTAATTCTTATTCATTCTTGACTAATATTAATTAAACAATATGATTTCTTCTTTAATATATTATTCTCATAATATATTAATATGATTTCTCCTTTAATATATTATTCTCATAATATATTAATAAATCATATTTAATCATTTCTCTCCATAATTCATCCTATCAAGTTGCTTAGGTGAAGGCAACCCAAAAGGACCATGCACCATCGGGTCAAGTTCATACCAAATTAGTTATGGACTTAAACACTAATCCAACATCAATAACACTTGAAAATTTTTATTATACTAAATTATGCTTTTACAAATTTACTTACATCATTTCTAAAATTGTAGTGAACAAAAGAAGGGACTTCAGACGATTCATAATTCAGACTAGCAATATGTGACAGATAATGTGGAGTAAAGGCCCCAGCATTAGAGATAATCATCTTTTTTTTCGGTTGACACGCCTCGTCCTGATCAACATCGAAAAGATCGCAGACTTTCGCCCAAGTTAACCTCCTAATATGAAACCAACGCAATATACACGGATATAAATAATTTCGCACCATTTCCCCGGATTGCTGGAAACATCTCCCATATTCATATCTTGTAATAAATATACGTTAATTTATAAGAGTTAGCAATAACTAAAATTTAAAAAAATAAAAAATAAAAACCGATAAATTATTAAATATATTTTTTTAATTAGTTAAATATACTTTCAAAGGAATAACCAAACCCGATAGTATGTACACAATCGCTTTTGTTACATGGTTGGACATATAATTCTCAAATTTCTTAAACATACCCGACAATTTAGGGTATGTTTTACTCCATAGATAACTCCCCCACGAGAACCTATATTATAAGAAAAAAGTATTAGTTAAATGTATAAAAATTAGTATTTTATTATAAATATTAAATTGATAAATACCTATTCCATTGATCCAGGTTCTCCACCACCCACAAATATTCCTTGGTGACTTTATCATTAATCTCATTTCCCAAAAAAACCTTGATTGAGGATATATAGCAAAATGGCACGAATACCGTCTTGAGCCGATATATCATTGAACCGTTGATTCAAGATAAGGAGCTCTAAATCTTCTACAACTAAAGAAGTGTCTGTGCGATATGGGAAGACTCTGGACCGAAATGTACTTTCACCATATCCGTGTTTATACATGGTTGAAAATTCGATCCTTGAATTAGGACACCGACCCATGTAAAGTCCGGTCACAGACAAAACTCCTCCGGCCCAAATGATAGTGTACGTCTAGAAAACCTAAAATATAGGCGTTCAGCGGCGTCCGTTTCAGTAGTAGGACGCAACATATGCAGTAACAACCCATGAATAAGAAGTCTGTCTCCGGACTGAGCTGGTAAGTCCAACAAGATAACCGAAGCTAGTTGTTGAAAACAGATCGTGCACGGGTTCGTTCAAGCGACTCAAAACTTCATGCAATTTATGGCATGAAGCTTTGACAGATAAGTGACTCATCATCGATTTGTTTCGAAGCTACAAAATTAAATAAACATTAAGGTTAAATAAAGTTTTATAAAACTAAAAAAACCGATAAACAATTAGAGAAAACACACAATATATTCTATTTACTCTGTATGAAATACCAAAGAGAATTAATTGACTACATATATTTTTTTTTTGTATTTTCTATACTACTAATATACCAAATTTAGCATTGTACTTTCAAAATTGTGTGACATTAACATATTTTATTACAAACCCGAAAATAGCAAAACACAATGTTATTTTATCAATACAATATACTTCAAAGTATCTACATATTATAAAAATAAAAACATTTTCAAATCAATAGTACATTGCTAATGTATGCTATAATTGAGACATAGAAAATAACATCATTTTAAACAACATACAAACATTGAATCATAACATACATACAAAGGGATACAATCCTGTTTAAAAATAACTTTTCAAAAATAATTTAAAAAATATATATAAAAACATAGGTTATTTTTTTGCCAACAAAATATATATATATATATATATATATATATATATATATATATATATATATATATATATATAATCCTACAATTTTTTTTTGCCAACAAAAATATCATAATATACATAAAAGGGATACAAATGTTTATTAGTTATTTAAAAAAAATTACGAAACCGTAGGTTTTTGGGAAACCTACGATGTACAAGTGTTTACTGCACAAAATGTGTAGTAAATGCTTGTACACCGTAGGTTTCCATACAAAACCGTAGGTGTACAAGTCGACAATGCACAATATGTGCATTAGGCACTTGTACACCGTAGGTTTCATATGAAACCTACTGTTTTATATTTTTTTCGTTTTTTTTTTAAAAAACTTAACCACATATATAAAACATACTCCTAATCATAAATACGGTAAAATTTTGATGAAAAGTAAACAAACCTGGTTGTTCTTTGGGTGCTCAATTGAGAGAAAAAAGTAGCCGAAGCAAAGAAAACAAACAATAGACAAAATGATCTAATCTGAAAAAAAAAATTATATATTTTGGGCTAATGGACCACAAAAAAGTAAATGGGCCTGTGAAACAGCAACCCATTTGCATAAAAGAGTAATTTTCGCAATAAAATAGCTGTCAAAGGTGTTGACCGTAGTCAACCCTAAGATGACTACCGTTTTGTGTGTTATTTTTGACTAATTGGTATATTTTGGCTATTTTTGGTAAGTGATTAAGAAAAAAAGGCTAGATTAATAATTTCCCAAGTATTAACTTAATAAAATGTTTCTTACCTATCTTTTATCTTGGATCAATTCGAAAAGCTGGTAAAAACAAGGAAACATTACTATTCTGCATGCAATAATTCACAAGTATGTCGGACCAAAGATTCGGACTCGATCCATCGAAGGTGTGTCATTTTACACTGTCTATAGGGGTGGAGGAGGGGGAGGGGGGGTAAAGTATTGTTTCCAAATGGAATTTAACTGGAAATATCAAGATCATGCAGACACTTTAATCAACCAGTGGGCCAGATAGATCTTATCAAGTTAAAAGAGAAAAATAATATATGATATCATAGATTGACAAATGGAAGAATCCAAAAAGACAAAGTTTAGGAAATCAAATCATCTGATCATCAACAACACATCAATCAATCTCATCAGCATCAGCAGCACACCAACGAGTTCTTGAACCATTGATTGATGCATGAATGAATCGGTGGGATTTTAACTGTCTTTTTCATTCAAAGAGTGGTAAATATTCTCCACGAGTCTAACAACATAGAAACAGACAATATCAATAACATAAATAGGGTACGAAAGATAGCCCACTTTCTTTCTAAATTTTCATTTTACGATATCGAGTACACCCACAGAGAGAAGAAACGCAACTTTTTGAGTCCCCCAAAGAAATTTGTAGTAAGCCATCACAGGCATATTAAAAAAGCTGAAGAGGCTGCAGCTGATGCTTTTGTTGTTGTTTTGTAGTCAGGGAAAGGTGTAGGGGACCATTGTATATTATATATATGCTTATATTTAATTCATGTCCTTTTACTAAATTTTCACTTGTGTTGCATAGCTGAGTTTTATAGGTTTTGTTGGTTTGCATAGATCTTGCAGAGGTCTATCGCTTGCAAGATTTCAGCTGCTTCTCAATGCATGCTTGGACAGAGAAAGTAGAGAGAGAATCTTTTTGCTTTTTGCGATAAATCTAGTAACATTTTAACCAAAGTTGAGGTACGTTTCCAAACTCTAAATTTGTTTCTCTTTGCTTTCCTCATTTTGCAAACTTCTTTAAATCTTGGTTTCCAAAGTTTCTTCCTTTTCTTCTAAGTATTACAGTAAGCGTAATTCTCCTTTATCATCCATCTTCTTGTTGTTCTTCGTTCTTTATTTTCTTTAACTCATGGGAGCTTATAATCGGTGGAAATTTTGACTGATTGCAAAAGATTTTGTTTAAGAGTTCGGGTTTGCGAAAAATCTTGTTTGGGTTCTTGTTTGCTGATCATGGTGTCACCAGATTCCAATACAAACTCTAACAACATTCATCAATTTCTCATTTCAAACCCAACCCACTATGAAAGTCAACCTTTTGAGGCTTATGGAGTTGACTTGAGAGGCCTTGGCTCATACCAACATCAATCACTCAATGTACTTCCCACCATTCAGTCTTTTGGCGAAAGAATTTCAAGATCCATTGATCTTATTCAAGCTCCTTCAATGGCGGAAGAACAAGAACTTAACCAACATCACCATAACCAGAAACTTTCACTTTCTTTAGGTTCTGGTTTGCTCTTTCCTTCCACAGCTGAATACAGAGGGGAAAGATGTTACTTGGTTTCCGAAGAAGAATTACAAGAAAAAACAAGAAAAGCTTTTAACCCTTCAGATTATTCTTCTTCGTCTTCACTTAACCAATCTTCATCCACGTTTTATGGAACAGAATCGCTCTCGATATCAGTTGGTAGTTCGAGGTACCTGAAACCAACTCAGTCTCTTCTTGAAGAAGTAGTTAGCGTCGGTGGGAAGGATCTTGAATCAAGCAACAAGTCTTATGCGTGTAAATTATCATGTTCGGGTAGGCAAGGTTCGCTAGGGTTATGTTCAGAACTAAAAGCAGAATTATGCAGTAATGGGTTGCCATTTGAGAAACAAGAACTTCAAGCGACATTAGCAAAGCTCATTTCTTTATTAGAAGAGGTAACCCGAAACACCTTTCAATCATTTATCATAAAAAAACAAAGTTCAAATTAAATGTTTCATGGATTTGTTTATTTTCAGGTGGAGAGAAGATACGATCAATATTATCAGCAACTAGAAGATGCGGTTTCGTCATTCGAAATGAATGCAGGTTTAGGATCAGGGAAGTCATACACTGCATTAGCACTAAATGCGATGTCAGGACACTTTTCGAGCTTGAAAGACGCAATTTTGTCACAGATTTATGCAACCCGAAAGAAAATCTTGCAAGATTTACCAAGAATCAACATGGGTTTGTCGCAACTCAGCTTGTTCGATAAAGAAAATAATAGACACAACCGTATAGCCCTTCAACAGCTTGGAATGATGGCTAGCCCACGACAAACGTGGAGACCAATTCGTGGTTTGCCGGAGACTTCTGTCATGATACTTCGATCTTGGCTCTTCGAGCATTTTCTCCACCCGTAAGAATGATTATAATAACATATCTTCTTGTACTTTACGTTGCGTTTTCTCAAGGTTTGATTAATATTTGTTCTTGTTGTAGGTATCCGAACGACAGTGAAAAACTTATGTTGGCATCACAGACGGGATTGTCAAAGAACCAGGTAAGTAACTGTTACGGAATACGGAGGCTTATTGATTTATGTGAATTTGATTATTGTTTTTAATGTTATTAAGCGACTTCCAGGTGTCGAATTGGTTTATAAATGCTAGGGTCCGATTGTGGAAACCAATGATCGAGGAAATGTACAAGGAAGAATTTGCAGATTCATCCGAGGATTCAAACTTGTAACATGGTACAAAGAAGGGCGTCACAGAACCTGGATAATGAAGGTTGCAGCGATGTTAACATCTGTGAAATGTGTAGGATTTTAATGGGATTTTCATAGTCAAAGACTAGAAATGAATGCACACTTTTGTCATCAAGTTAATTGGATGAAATTGTCCTAGGGTTGAACTTTTTGACCTCAAAAGGGTAACAAATAAGTGTTCATTAATGGATCTACAAGCATCTAATTTTGTGGCAAGTAGTACTTGTATTTGATGAGTCATTTTCATTTATGATGACTGTTATAAGTTCTATAAATGAGCTTTTTCTATAAAGTGAAAGAAAATCGTTCAAAATCTTCCATCTAGTAACTAGGGTTTTGCATGACTTGTGGATTCAAACCAAGAATCCAAACCAAACCAGATTCAACCAGAATTCGGTGTTAAATAGTTTTCATGACCAATAAAAACCCCTATGCTAACCAAATCTTATCTTTTTTAAAGATGAAGATTATAATATTAGAAAGTTATCTATTTTTGTAAATTGTTTTAAGGAAAAGATGAAGATTATAATATTAGAAAGTTATCTATTTTTGTAAATTGTTTTAAGGTCTAGTATTGTTGATTGATGGCCCTATACAACTAATATTTATAAGGGAAATGACTTAAGAGCCCAACGAAATTTTCAAACCGTTCAAAAAATCCCAATCATGTTTTGTTTGTTTAAAAAAACCCAACAAACTTAACATTTTGTCTAAAAAACCAACTAAGTTACACTTTCAAATAAGAGAAATAGATGCGTAGCTTATTACCGTATCGAGAAAATGATTTGTTTGACCAACGAAGTTTCCATAACGTTTAAAAAACTCCAATTATGTTTTGACTGTTCAAAAAAAAATCCCAACAAACTTAAACAAAACAAAACTGAGATTTTTTGAACGGTTTTGAACTTTGTTGGACTTTTTAGACAAATGTTAAATTCGTTGGATTTTCTTTAACAGACAAAATATGATTGGGGTTTTTTGAATGATTTGAAAACTTTGTTGGGCCTTTAAATCATTTTCCCTGTTTATAATATCTCTTTCTATTAATGAAGTATGCTTATGAAAACTACACCTTGGATTTGAACAAGCTAGTCTAACAGGGAGACTCGGCTCTTGATACAAATAATGGGGGCTTCTAGACGATTAGGAATTGAGTATTAATGACAGATTTAGTGACCGAACAAATGTCTCTATATAGTCTCACCATCGTAACAGCAATGTAATATTTTTTTGCCAAAGTTATCGACAACTAACTAAAATATCATGCATTTTGTTAAGGGAAAAAGACATTGTAGCAAAATGAATTATGTGTTTTGTCCCAAATTAGTTATTAATGTTATTTTTTGCACAGTCCAACAAACTTAACATTTACTTGTTAAGAAAGGGTATGCATATACCCTCACTACAAGAAATGATGGCATTTGCGGAGATCTAAAGCATTAGCGTCGACATATAATTGACGTGTTACATATCGCCGCTAATGTCATGTGTCGCCGTTAATGCCAACCTAATAGCGATCTGCGTCAAACAAGTCTCATCCGTCCGGCTTGTTTTCAATCCAAGGATCGTAGAGGAACAAAAAAACGCATTGACTTTTCCCTCCACGGTGTCGCCGCTAATAGTCTTCTGTCACCACTAATACCAAGGTGTCTACGCTATTGCTCGTCGCCGCTAAATGCCTTTACAGATAACCCCCCATCAGCTTCCTTTTCTCATTATGTGTCGTTCCTTTCTACTTGTCTCACTGAAAATCGGCGACGAACTTAGAGGGACAGCGACGCAAGCTCCTGCCGACCATCAGCCGCTCCTGCCGCCACAAGACTGCTACACTGCCAACCACTTCCATTACCGGCAACCTATAGCTCCAATTCCGAATTTTTGACATTGAAGGTCGAATTCCTCCCTATTTTCTATTATTTTTCTATTTTATTGCTAATTTTGGTGGTAAATTGGTAGTATTCTTCAATTTTGTTGTGTGATTATTCAATTTTGTTCTGTCAATATCTTTGTATTGATGGATATGGAAGTGTTTATTCATTTTGTGGGATTATATATGTTTTTTCAAATTTGTGGGAAGTATTTATGCATTTTGTATATGTTTTTTTTATTTGTGTTTATACCACATTGGCTTAAAAATGAAATTTGGCATGAAATTGAAATTGGATGTATATATACACTTGTTTGATTTTGTATTTAGATTTATACATTTGTATGAAATTGAAGTTGGATGTATGCATTTGTTTGAAATTAGATGTATACATTTGTTTCAAATTGTATGTTTAATTGTATGAAATGGAATATGCAAGTTGTATTGTATATCTAAAATGAAATGAAACTTGGAATTGAATGTATTGTATACATATATGATTATGTGATATTTAGGATTATTAGTTTGGCTAAATTAGGTTATTAATAGCAACTTACTTCTAGTAATGTAGTGTATATGATTTCAAAGTGCTTAATTTTGCTAGTGACTTAATGTTAGTCATTACAATTTTAACTTAATTAGATTATTAATAGTTTTTATTTAAAAAAAAGCAATAAAAAAATAATAAATTAATTGTAAAATCAAATTATATTATTTTTAAAATCAAGTTAATATTAATATTAAAATAAAATTCAATTAGTTCAAAGAATTAAATTAATAACAAAAAAGAAAATATTAAATTAATTACAAAATCAAATTAAGTTACCTTTAGAATCAAATTAAATTAATTATAAAATCAAATTAGTATTAATATCAAAATAAAATAAAATTAATTATAAAATCAAATTAAATTAATGTTAAAAAAAACTAATAACAAAAAAGAAAAAGTTAAATTAACTAAAAAAATAAAATTAAGTTAATTATAGAATCAAAGTGCTTAATTTTGTTAGTCAATTAATGTTGGTCATTACAACTTTAGCTTAATTAGGTTATTAATAACCAGTTACTTCTAATAATTTTAGTGTAATTATAGAATAAAATTAAATTAATTTTAAAAAATCAATAAAATAATAATAAATTAATTGTAAAATCAAATTAAATTAGTTTTAAAATCAAGTTAATATTAATATTAAAATAAAATAAAATTAGTTTAAAAAATTAAACTAATAAAAAAAAATATTAAATTAATTAAATAAAATAAAACTATATTAATTACCTTTAGAATCAAATTAAATTAATTATAAAATCAAATTATATTAATTATAAAACAAAATTAATATTAATATTAAAACAAAAAATTAATTATAAAATCAAATAAATTTAATTTAAAAAAATAATAACAAAAAAGAAAATATTAAATTAATTATAAAATAAAACTAAATTAATTTTAAAATCAAAGTGATTAATTTTATTAGCGACTTAATGTTGTTCATTACAACTTTAGCTTAATTACGTAATTAATAGCAACGTACTTCTAGTGATTTTAATTTAATTATAGAATAAAATTAAATTAATTTTTAAAAAAATCAATAAAAAATAATTAATTAATTTTAAAATCAAATTAAATTAGTTTTAAAATCAAGTTCACATTTATATTAAAATAAAATAAAATTAGTTTAAAATATTAAACTAATAATAAAAAGAATTTATTAAATTAATTAAAAAATCAAAATAAGTTACCTTTAGAATCAAATTAAATTAACTATAAAAACAAATTAATATTAATATTAAAATAAAAAAAGTAATTATAAAATCAAATAAAATTAATTTTAAAAAAATAATAACAAAAAATAAATATTAAATTAATTATAAAATTAAATTAAATTAATTTTAAAATAAAAGTGATTAATTTTATTAGTGACTTAATGTTGGTTATTACAGCCTTAGCTTAATTACATTGTTAATAGTAATGTACTTCTCGTAATTTTAATTTAATTATAGAAAAAAATTAAATTAATTTTTAAAAAATTAATCGGAAAATAATAAATTAATTGTAAAATCAAATTACATTAGTTTTAAAATCAAGTTAATATTTATATTAAAATAAAATAAAATTAGTTTAAAATATTAAACTAATAACAAAAAGAAAATATTAAATTAATTAGAAAATCAAAATAAATTACTTTAGAATCAAATTAAATTGATTATAAAATCAAATTGCATTATTTATAAAATAAAATTAATATAAATATTAAATTAAAAAAATTAATTATAAAATCAAATTAAATTAATGTTAAAAAACACTAGTAACAAAAAAGAAAATATTAAATTAATTATAAAATAAAATTAAGTTAATTTTAAAATCAAATTATCATTATTATTAAAATAAATTAAATTAAGTATAATATCAATTTAAATTAATGTTAAAAAAAGCTAATAACAAAAAAGAAAATATTCAATTTATTATAAAAAAAATTAATTTAATTTTAAAATCAAAGTGCTTAATTTTGTTAGTAACTTAATGTTGGTCATTAGCTTAATTAGGTTATTAATAGTAATGTAATTCTTGTAATTTTAATTTAATTATGGAATAAAACTATATTAATTTTAAAAAATTCAATAAAAAATAATAAATTAATTGCAAAATCAAATTAAATTTGTTTTAAAATCAAGTTAATATTAATATTAAAATAAAAAAAATAGTTTAAAAAATTAAACTAATAACAAAAACTAAATTATTAAACTAATTATAAAATCAAACTAAGTTATCTTTATAATCAAATTAAATTAATTATAAAATCAAATTAAATTATTTATAAAATCAAATTAATATTAATATTAAAATAAAATAATTTAATTATAAGATCAAATAAATTAATGTTAAAAAAACACTAGTAACAAAAAGAAAATATTAAAATAATTATAAAATAAGATTAACTTAATGTTAATATCAAAGTGCTTAATTTTGTTAGTGACTTAATTTTGGTCATTACAACTTTAGCTTAATTAGGTTATTAATAGCAACATACTTTTAGTAATTTTAAATTAATTATAAAATAAAGTTAAGTTAATTTTAAAAAATCAATAATAAGAAAATATAAAATTAGTTGTAAAATCCAATTATGATGTTATAATTAACGAAAATTAATAAAAAGAAATATTAGTAGAAGTTGGAATACTTTTTGAATCATCGACTTTATATATACTCTACTTGATTTTTGCTTCGCATAGAGTAATCCTTAAACACTAAACTATGTTTCAGTTGCATCATGTCTATTGATAAAATCTGCTCTACTAATCCACATCATGAATCTTCTGGGTTCCAGCTAGGACTCGACTCTTTTGTCCAGAGATCCATGTTACACTTAGATTGTAAAAGTGAAACCAGATGTCCATGTGAGCAATGTGATAA